AAGGTGGGGAGTTTGGGGGACTCTGAGTATCTGGGTGGACCCAGCACCTTTGGTGTGCGGATGCCTCAGCCCCATCCTGGTCCATCCCTCAGCCAGGGGTGATATTGGGCCACCCCGGGGGGATCCTGCCAGCCATGGCACCAGGTAACCACAGCCCCGGCTCCAGGGAGAGGGTCCGCAGGGCTGGGGAGAGCATCCAGAATGGGGTTGAAGGCTGTATTGGGGGTGCCATGCCACACAGAGAGCAATGGACCTCATGATACAGGGGGACACCCTGGGGTGGCCCTGGCTGTCCTATGTCCCTTCATCCTGTCTCATCAATCTAATGGGGAGCTGCTGCCCAGGGCAATGATGGAGTCACTCCTTTTGTGTTCACAGACCATGTAGACAAGGCCATCAGTGCCATGGGTTAGTGGTGGCCCTAGTAGTGCTGGGAGAGCTTGGACTTGATGAGCTTAAAGGTCTGTTTGATTCTATGATCCTATGGTGCTGGGCCCCAGGGAAGCTGCCAGCCTGTGGCATTACCCACTGCAGGGATGGGGCATGCACTGGGACATGATGCCCATGCATGGAGGGGACACCACCCCTAACCCTGAGCAAGCAGGGGGCTTCCCTGCTGCCTCCCATGCTGGTACAGCCCCAGGGTAGTGATGAGCTTGGATACAGCACAGCACAGGGGGGTCACCCATGCCTGCTCCAACCGGCTAATTTACTGTGCCGCTGCGCACCGCACTAGCCAATAACTCTGAAATGATGTGAAGATTTGCTGCCAAACTCTTTCATAAAGAGATTTAGGAGGGTGACAAAGATAATTAAACATCTTTCCCCAAGTATTGACTTGCAGCTGAAAGGGGGGGGAAATAACTACATTTTTCACAGTCCTTTTAAATCACGCTGAAACCTGGCTTGGGTACTGTAAGAACAAGCCCTGGCCCGGCAGCCGTGGGGTACCACTGCCCTGTGTGCCACGCTAGGAGACGGGTGGTGGAGCAGAGATGGGGTTTGGGCAGTGGGGGGCTGGCACAGGACCCCTCAATGGCTGCAGGCAGTGTGGGAAGGGAGGGATGCTCCAGGGCACACAAGGCAGGGGGAACACAAGGCTGGCTGCCACCATAGCAGAAGGGCTTAGCTCAAATGAGCAGTATGGGGCAGTGGGAGAGCTGTAAAGGGGGAATGCAGGGCCATGGTGCAGAGATGGTGGCAGGAGGGAAGTGGGAAGCAGGATGCTTCCCAACAAGGTTTGAAGTGGGAGTGGGGTGCTTAAGGAAAGGCTTTTGAGGAGCGTCAAGATGCACGCAAAGGCAGCTGCAATGGGCACATATGTGTATGCACATGTACAGAGCACATCTGCACCAGTCTGTGTGTGTGGAAGGGATGGGATCCAGAGGGAGCTGGGCAGGCTGCAGAGGTGGGACCGTGAGAACCTCATGGAGTTCAACAGGGCCAAGTGCAAGGTCCTGCACATGGGTTGGGGCGACTCCAAGCACAAAGAGAGGCTGGGGGAGACTGAATGGAGCAGCCCTGAGGAGAAGGACTGGGGGGTGTTGGTCAATGAGAAGCTCCCCATGACCCAGCTTCAGTGTGAGCTTGAGCCCAGAACCCCCCCGTGTGCTGGCCTGCACCCCCAGAGCGTGAGCAGCAGTCGAGGGAGGGGATCCTGCCCCTCTGCTGGGGAGAACCGGATGAGGGGTGAGGTCCCTTCCAACCCAAACCACTCTGTGCTTCTATGGCCTAGGTCAGAACCAGCCCCAGCCATCACCTCCACCCCCGTGGGCGAGCCGGCGGTACTAGTGCTAGGGGGGCACAGGTCACCCTGCGCTGTCCCCGCCGCGGGCACGGCCCCGCTCCGCTCCCTGTTTCCCGGCTCGTCCCTTTCCCCGGCCTCTCCCGGCCGTGTCCCTGTCGCTGTGGTCCGTGGAGCGCTGCTGACACCCAGCGGGCGAGCGCCAGGCTGCACAGGGCGGCACAGCCCGAGCTGGTCCCTGCGCGCCGTGCCCTGTCCCGGCGGTGTCACCGGTGCGGGGACATTGTCCTCCCCAGGGAGCTGCAGGCGGATTTTAACTGGCGGGTCCCTGCAGATCCGGGTGGTTCCTGAGGTCCTGGGACTCCCGGATCACACTTGACATCAAGGGGTTATGGAATCCCAGCCTGGTTTGTATTGGAAGGGACCTTCAAGCTCATCCAGTCCCAACCCCTGCCACAGGCAGGGACCCCTTCCACTGGAGCAGCTTGCTCCAAGCCCCTGTGTCCAACCTGGCCTTGAGCACTGCCAGGGATGGGGCAGCCACAGCTTCTCTGGGCACCCTGTGCCAGCGCCTCAGCACCCTCACAGGGAAGAGCTTCTGCCTAAGAGCTCAGCTCAGTCTCCCCTCTGGCAGGTTCAAGCCATTCATTCCCCTTGTTCTGTCCCTAGAGGCCAGGAAACTCTCAGCCCATCTCAGCTTTTCCTCCTACCTCTCCATTCCCCAGCAGATAAACCCAAGTACCTGAGGAGAGCACCATGGTTCGCACAAAGCCAAAGCAGAACCGTTTCCTGTGGGAAAAGCATTTTCCATTTCAATTCTGAAGTTGATTCTTGAAGGAGCAGGAGCAGTCACTGCAGAGGAGACTGGATGCTCTTCTCCAGCTCTGGAGACGCTGGAAGCTCATCCTGCTGAGGCATCCAAGCTCATTAAGGGAGCCCTGAACACCCACATCAGAGCCCTGCAAACCCCCCTCCCAGCACGGAAATCACACATCCTGCCACTGGGGCCTGCAAAGACACTTGCAGAGGTTAGGAATTTGACCTGGAGAATGAAAGGAGGAGGAGGAAGGGACCAGAAAGTCCTTGTTCAGCAGCACTTCCTCCATGGAGGATGGGGAGCATGGGGATGTTTTACCTGGAGACACACCATAAAACTGCTCCTGGATAGCTGTTGCCTGGCTGGAAACTCAAGGCAGGACGTTTGATAGCCAGTGCTCACAAATAGAAGTTAAAAATGAGTGACAGAGGCAAGGTCACGTTAACCTGTGTCTTTACATTTGCTACAGTCACCTTCTCTCTGCCTTGGGATGTGCAGGTTCCCAGCAGCATCACTCAGACCCAGACTTTGGGTCCAAAAGAGCCAAGGACAGGGGTAAAGGGGGCTGCCTTGAGCCCTGAGTGATTGCAAGGTCAAGTGGGTGATGGGAACCCATCTCAGCTCAGCTGGTGGCTTGCAGATGAGATGATGGTGATCAGCAACCTCTTGGGTAGCTGCCCTGCTGTCCAGCTTGGACACTGACCCGGGGGTGCTGCACAAGAGAAGAAAGCATCTTCAATTCCACCAGCCTGTCCAACCAGGGAGAGAAACTTTCCATCTGTCAGGTGCAGAGAGAAACGGGGCCAGGCAGGGCTGGTTCATGCTTCAGTGGTGCTGGGCAAGCAGTGTGCTCCTTCCTATGCAGCCCAGCAGAGCTGCTCCATCCCCAGGACTGCAGTGTCCTTCCTCCTTTCACCCCACGGAGCTTTGGAGTTACAAAGCCCCCAGGCTTGGGTTCTACCTTGCCTCACACATCCATGCATGGACTCTCCAGGCTGTGTCTGTCTCACAGGGGCTGGGGTGGCTGTACATGCAATGGACACACAGGCATGCAGATGCTCACACACTCTCCTGTGCACCCCATGGGACACTACAGCAATGGTGTTGAACAGCTCTGGACCATAAATCCTTCCAGCCTCATTTGCTCCCTGCTCCACAGCCCCAAGGCCACCCCAAGGTCTTCCCTCTGCACTATCCCCAGCTCAGGATCCGCTGCTCCCTGCCCACTGCGGCAGCTCTCCAGCCAAGTGTGGCACCTGGCAGCTCTGCCTCACTGGTGGTGACCATGGCACCCAGGGCAGGCCAAAGTGGGAAACAGCCCCAGGATGAGCCGGTGTGCATGGAGGAGCTGCTCAGCCACTGTGCTGCAACATGGAGAGCTGCAGGCAGCCTCCCTCCCCAGGCAGGGCTCTGTGAGAGCTGCAGCTTCCTCCCTGCTCCCCCTCCCTTTTTGCCTGTGCCTTGATGCCCATCTGGCAGCTAGTCCCAAGCAGGGTACCCCAGGGTGAGTGCTGGGGCCATGCTCCGTATCATCATCACAGGGCTGGATAAGAGATGTACTTTTGCCTCGCAGGTGAGGTTAATGTGGGAGGAATGGGTGCAGAGCAAATGCAGAGCCTCAGTCCAGGTGGACCCCAAGAGACTCCAAAGTTGGATCAACACAAACCAGGACCCAGAGTCCTGGCCAAGAGGCTGAAAAAAGGGGGCAAGCTGTGCCCTGGGTGACATGAGGAGGGGTGGGGGCAGCAGCATGAGAGAACGGCCAGTTCAGGGAGAGGTGGAGGAGCTGAAGAGGGACCAGCAAATTGCTGCTGGCAGGGCTGGGGCTACAAGAGGGGTGGGTTGGAATCTACCAGCATGCAGCTACCTGGAGATGGAGCCATCTCTTTTTGTAGGGAGTAACAAAGGACAACGGGCAAAATGAGGTGTAAGGAAGCACAATGGGCACTAATTGCAGCTTCAGGTAGGACAAGTGGGAATTACTCTTATTACTCCTGGGGAGGTGGTGCATGTGGGACGTGCCACCAGGGACATGGGGCAAGTCTATATTTCAAGTCACAGCTGGTTAAAGCCATGGGTCACTTTACCCTGTGCTGGTGGTGTTTCTGCTCCAAGGAGCAGGGTGGGCTAAAGACCCCAGGGGTCCCTTCCTGCCAGCATCACCAGGATGCTGCTGAGCGCAGTGAGGGGCAACCTCCCCCAACTGCAAACACTGCCAGGAGCCCACACACAGACCCAGGGCACCTTGAGCACCAGGGTGCTGTGCACTGGACCGCGGCCTCATCCCAGACAGCCCGCATCCTGCTGATGCTGCTGCCCATTGCTTCCGCCGCGCCGCTGGAGGCCCGGCTGCTGCTCCAGGCAGGTGATCAGCTGATCCCATCAGCGAGCTGGTGCTGCAAAGTCAGGCACAGAGATTGCAGCGTGCAGCGAGGGGAGAGCGGGGCCTGCGGGGCTGGGGGGCTCGGGGGGCCGGGGGCAGCTGTGCCCTGAAAGCCGAGTCACCTGCGCGCTGCTACCTGCTGAATAATAGAGGAGCTGAGAGCCCGCGGGGAGAAATGTGATCCCGGGAGCCAGCCGGAGGAGACACCCGAGCTCAGGCAGCGGCGATAGCAACTGCAGGCGCTGAGCCGTCCTCCGCCTGCTCCGGGGTGCCTCTGCCCGTCCTGGGGGCCTGGGCGGCCCCGGTGCCCACCGCAGGGGCAGGGGCGCATTGCTCGGAGGATGATGTGAGCTGCAGCAGGCACCCAGAGCTCAAGGGCAGAGCTGGGTTTCCCCGGGAGGTGAGGCAGAAGGAGCCTGCCTGCAGCCAAGTGCCCGCGCCCTGGGTCCGGCAGCGCAGCCCCATGTCCAGAGGAGGGGAGATGGTTTATATCCCGGATGACTCCGACTTCAGCTCCTTCAGGGATCAGTGCGAGAGCCTGGAGGGCTGGCACTGTCGGTATAACAAGGCTGGCGTGACCGTGTGGAGTCAGGGCCAGGAGGAAAGCTGCACTGTGCAGAAAATCAAGGTAAGCAAATGCCTGCAGCTGCAGGACCGCAGCCCTTCCTTACCCCAGCTGCACCCAGGGTCCCTGAGGTGCTGGCCCACCCTGAGGGTGCGCAGCGCCCTGATCCAGCCCGCCTGGGGGTGTTTCTGCCCAGGGCTCTCACTGCCTGCCCTGTGGCTTTAGCCTCTCGACCTGCCGAGATGCCGCTGCAGCATCCTGCCATGCACGCGTGTGGGCTCACATTGCGGCTGCCCTTGATGCAGACACAGGAGGGAAGGCCCCAGGATCGATTACGTTATAGAGATGGCCTTGCTGGGAGCCCCCGGGCATGAGACAGGCTGGTGCGATGCCTCCCTGGTGCCTCTCCCCCAGCCACGCCATCCTGCAGCACATCCCTGCCATCCCGCACTGGAGGAGCATCCTGGGGAGCTTAAGAGCCCCCATGTGCAGTCTCAGGATGTTTGTTGTTTGCCAGGGGCTGGATCAAAGAATCACAGAATAGTTTGGGTTAGAAGGGACCTTCAAAGGTCATCCAGTCCAATCCCCCTGCAGTGAGCAGGGACCTTCCACTAGATCAGGTTGCCCAGAACCACATCCAGCCTGGCCTAGAATGTCTCCAGGGACGGTGCATCCACTACCTTCCTGGGCAACCTGTGCCAGTGTTTTACCATCCTCATTGTGAAGAATTCCTTCTTCACCTCCAGAATGGATCTGGGATGAGGTTCAACCATCCCTCGGGTTGTTATACCTACCTGCTCCTCTATATGGCACCACTGACACTGGCAGGTGACCCTGAGTACAACAAGAGTGGTTACAGGATGCTGGGGGCAAGGGAGCCCCATTACAGGGTAGGCCCTGGGTGGGAGCAACCTGTGGGTCAATGCAGCTGTGACTCCATGGCTGGTGTCATGGGCAGGGCTTTGGCTTTCCTGAGGACAGAGGCATAGGGCTGCTGGGCAAGAATGGGATCTGCCCAAGCAAGTAGGACAGGAGCATCTTACGTATGGAACAGACAACTTGATAAGGGGAGCTGTCAACTAGGAGTGTCAGGGAAGGGCTACTATGGCCTGAAGGGCATGGGGAGGTGCTGGTGGGTGTCTGGGGTACAGAGCACTGAAGGACCCTCTTTTGCACTGCTCTCCTGGACACAGAGTAACTGGCAGCCCATCTTGAGTGCCTGCAGCTGGGCAGACACAAGGTGGAGCTGGGTACACCACGATGGCTGTGGTGCTGCCGTGGATGGAGGCCCTTCAGGGCAAGGTGAGGAGGAGCAGCACTCCTTACAGAGGTGTAGCTGCAATAAGCACTGCCTTGCTGCTGAGAGCCAGGGAAGAGCTTTTGGGCTAAGATCCAGGAGCACTTAGGACCAGGCAGGATGCACCAGGGGGTGCTGAGGGCTCTGGTCAATGTCTCTTTGAAAAGTCCTGGTGACTGCAGGAGGTCCCCGATAGCTGGGAAGAGGCGAATGTCACGTTCATCTTGCATAAGGGTAAGAAGGATGCTCCAGGGCACTATGCACTGTTGTGTCACCTCCATCCCTGGGAAGGTGGTGGAGAAATCCCTCCTGTAAGCCATGTCCTGAAGGGCAAGGGCAGTGGTAACAGCAGCAGGGACCTACCAAGGGCAAATCACGGTAGACCAGCCTGATTGCCTCCTACAATGAGAGGGCTGGCTGGCTAGGTATGGGGAGAATGGTTAAAGCCCTGCACTTTGACTTCAGTAAAACCTTTGGCAGGGTCTCCTGTAGTCTCCTCATCGCCACCCTGGTGAGTCTGGACAGGAAAAGTGGATGATGAGGTGGGTGGAAAACCAGCTCAGCACCTGGCTCACAGGATGGGGGTCAGCAATGCAGGCTCTGAATGGTGGCCAGTTGCTGGATTCCACTCTGTTACTGGGATGATGGGAGCGCCCTATCAGCACATCTGCAGTGTGTGCAGCCCTGAAGTGTGGAGAGTGTTTGATGTGTTGGAGACAAAGCTGCTCCTGGACGGGCTGGCAGGAACCTTGTGAGGTTCAAACACCCAGAGCCCAGCAGAGGGGACACACTTATACCCAGCTTTGCCACCACCAAGCCTCATAGACTGAGAACCCCAGGCAGGTTGGTGGGGGCTCTGCGCACCATCACCCTGCTTCATTGCAAGGATGTGGTTTTTCCTGGCTCTGGAGGGGGCCTGGGCATGGTGCAGGGGTTTGGGACCCTTCCCAAAACATGGGATGGAGGATGCCACCCAGGAGCTGGGGCCTGGGGTTCAGAGCATGGGTCTGGGTGCTCCCACACTCTCGTTCCCGGTACCCCGGGGGCTGCAGCACATCTCCAAGCCTGTCCTGGGCACAAGTCCAGCACATGGGGCAGGAGCTGCCACTGGGGCCATCAGGGAACGCTTGCCCGAGATTGATGGGACCTGCCACGCTCAGAGGGGCATCTCCAGTTACCCGCCAGTGCTGAGCACCTCATCAAAGATGCAAGGCCTCTAACGAGGAGCAGATGACATCTCCCTCCTGCCGGCACCGAGCTGAGCGGCCAGCTCATCAATAATGCACTCGCTGCTGGGTAGGGCAGCTCCACGGCTCCGGTTACAGCCGGGGCCCCAACAACCCCCTTGGGCTCGACCCCTCACCAAAACCACCCTGCCAGGGCAGGGGCATCCCTGTGCTTGAATAGGTTGGGGTTCGGGGTACCAAGAGAGCCAAGCCTGGACCACCACACAGCTCTGTTTGAGAGTCCTTCTACCCCCTGGATACCCTCTGGCTACCATGGGCTATCCTGAAGCTGGGGCATGCCCTGCACCATGTGTGTGCAGAGCATCCTCCATGGCACATGTGTACATGGGTTTATAACAGCACAGGGGCATGCCACCGCGCACAGGAACAGCCTGAAGCCCTCCTCCGCAGGCAGGCACTGCTCCATGCTCCGTGGTGGGTGCTGCCTCCCTGCCCCACTGCCTGTCACCCCCCAGACTCGCATCTCCTGCAAGGACGTCCCTGCTGAGACACTCTATGATGTGCTGCACGACACCGACTACCGCAAGAAATGGGACTCGAATATGATCGAGACCTACGACATCGGGCGCCTGACCGTGAATGCTGACGTGGGATACTACTCCTGTGAGCAGCCCCTGGGGACCCCCTCCCTCACCCCACAGCACCGTGCGTGGCTGTGGGGCCACCAGGGGCACTGGGTTGGGATGTAACGGGGTCTATCCGCAGGGAAGTGCCCAAGCCCACTGAAGAACAGGGATTTCGTCACCCTGCGCTCCTGGCTGCCCCTGGGCAATGACTACATGATCATCAACTACAGCGTCAAGCACCCGGTGAGCCCCAGCCCTGGCACGGCGCTGGTGCCAGCAGGCACAGACGGGGCTGGGCAGCGGCTGGGGCAGGCTCTGAGGTGCATGGGGTCTCTCTGCAGAAATACCCCCCCCGGAAGGACTTTGTGAGAGCCGTGTCCCTGCAGACAGGGTACCTCATCAAGGCGAACGGCGCCGGTGCCTGCGTCCTCTATTATCTCACCCAGGTGGACCCTCGTGGTGAGTGCCTATGTGCCCCAATGTGCCCCCACAGCTCACCCCCGGGGCTGTCCATCACCACGGGGCAATCCAGGGAAGAAGGGGGTCCCCCCCAGGGCACAGCCATCAGTGCTGGGGGGTGCTGAGTCTGGCACAGGGCACTGTGCAGGGCCCAGATTGCCTGAGTGATGGGGCTTTGGGCTCTTGCAGGGTCGCTGCCAAAGTGGGTGGTGAACCGCGTCTCCCAGTTTGTGGCACCAAAGGTAAGCAGGGTACGTGGCTGGTGGTGGGATGCAGGGGGGGCATCAGGGGTGAGCTGTCACAAAGTGGCCCCTAGGTCAGGGCAGGATGGGTGCTGGTGTCCCAGGGCTTGCAGGATGGTACTGGGTGACGCAGGACTCACACCTCGGTGTGGTCCAAGCCACCATCTCCTCCAACCCCCCCTGAAGAGCAAGCAATGGAGGAGCTGGGAGCTGTGCCCACAGAGCAGGGTGGCTCCATCCCCCCTGGGCACTGTGACGGGCTGGTCCCACTCTGCCCACAGGCCATGAAGAAGATCTACAAGGCCGGGCTGAAGTACCCGGAGTGGAAGCGCAAGCACGACCCCGGGTACAAGCCCTGGGTGTACCCGGAGCAGAACACACTGCCCAGCGTCAGCCTGGCCGAGCTCTCGCTGCAGCACGCGGACTCGCTGGAGAACATCGACGAGACCGGGCTGCCTGAGGACCACCTGAGCACCAGTGACCACGAGGCCTGAGCCCTAACCTCATAGCGGGACCCCCTCATGGCTGAGGCTTGGCAGCCGGGGGGGGAACGGGTGGGAATTTGGCCCCCTGCACCCCAATAGTCGTGTCTGCTCTCCAACTCCTTCATCATAGACCCCCCTAGCAGTGCAGCGAGGTACTGTCGCATGGGAAATGATGTCCCCATGCAGGACATAGAGCTGGAAGCGGGAGTGGGTGCCCCAAGGAGAGGTTGGGAAGCCTTTATGGGGTGGGTAGGAGCCTTTTTGGACCTTGTAGGAGTGCCCCCCAAAGGTCCAGAAGTAGGGGGATCTATGGGGATCCTGCCCAGGCTCTGCAGTACCACAGGGCTTGCACTGAGCCTCTCTGGCCTGTGCTGCAGCTCTGACAGCCCCACCATCAGGCTGGACCCGCTCCAGCCCACCAGGTCCCCCCAGTTTTAGTGTGACCCCCCCCATCTCAGGGAGCGCTCCCATGGGCATGAGGCTCACCCCTGAGCCTGGCTCTAGCCCAGCTCTGGGGACCCCTTCCCCAGAGTGCTGGGGGGGGCTTGTCCTGGCCGTGGGGTCTTGGCAGCCTCTGTCCCCACTCTCTCGGTGTTTGCCGCTGCTGTGGTTTCTAACACAACAATAAAGGGGTTGCTGTGTGCACAAGAGAGCTTCGGGCTGGCACAGGATGCTGCTGGCACCGAGCCCTCCCTGGGGCTGTCCAGGCACTAAGTCCAAGCCCCCGTATTGCAAGGCTCCTGCCCCACATGGGTTGAAGCCTGATCTGTTCATGGCCAATGCAAATGGGGCTGTCAGTGCTGATGGTGCTGGGAGGTTCAGCTCCAGAGCTGTCCCAGCAAGGTAAAGACCAGAGGACAGGGACATGGCAGACACAGTCAACCTACACAGTGATGTGTGACCCCATCAGCCATCCTGTGGATCTGTGGATGGCAGCATCCATAGAGCCACTGTGTCTTTTGGGGCCCCTCTGACCAACTCAGCTTCACATCCCTGGTCACCCCAACCCCTGTGATCCCACCCCGTGCTGTACGGCTGCTGCCCTGTGCTTGCTTCCCCACACCTTGTGCTTCTCCTCCTCAATTAATCCAGACCCCCACCCAAGCATCCCTGGCACGGATGCTCACTGTCCCCCTTTAGCGACCCCATAAGGTCCCATATGTCCTGCATATGTGCTGCTCCATGGGGACATCACCCACACATGGGCTGGGGCAGGGAGAGGAGGTCCATTGAGACAGCAGCTGGGCTGGCAGCACAAGCAGTGCAGGGGCGAGGAGCCATCCCTGCAGTGAAGACGTGGAACACCCAAGGGCTGGGGATGTGCAGCCCTCACAGCACGGTACCTCCCTGCCCTGTGCTGCTCCCACCGTATCAGCAGAGGGAAGGCGCTTACATCAGGAAGGATTTTAACACACCCCAGCCCCAGCTTGCCCCAGTAACACTTTCTGGTAGAGCTGGGCAAGGAGCCATGGCCACAGCAATGAGCAGAAACACCCCTGCGTGCTGCCGTAATAGAGCACATCCCCCTGGCACCCCGAGACCCGAGGATGCTGGGGTGAGGACCACCCCACGCAGCCTCAGTGCTGCAGAAGCAGCCTCCTCTCTCCTCACTCCCCAGGGGCTCCTCAGCAGCAGCCAGGCTGCAGTTCCCTCCAGCCTGCCAGAGGTAGGCGTGAGGAGCCGCTGCCTGAGCTCCTGCTCCCACCAGCCCCAGGGGAGGCTGCGCCAGGGGCTGACACCCAGCCCACGATGATGCTCAAGACATCCAGGTCGGCAGTGACATCGAGTGCACGTAGAGGGCAAGGGCTGCTGGGGTGGCAGGGACACTGGTCCACATCCAGCACTGGTCCCCAGCATCACTGTCTAGGGAGAAGTGAAAACTGCAGCACTGGGCAGAGGGGCTGTCCCAGACCCTGGGGGTGCTGGACCCCCATGGTGGTGATTTCCTGTAAGTGTCACTGCTGTGTTTCCTGTGGCTCGAAGAGGGGGGCAGCAGCGTGCTGGTATCCCGGGGTGCCTGAGGGAGGGATCGGCAGGGAAGATGTGAGGGACTGGAGCCCCCCGAGTACCCTTGTGGGTGGTGCAGAGCCCAGTGGGACACAGGGGCTGCAGCCCCATCTGGACAGCTCTTCCTGCTGGCCCCAGGCAGAGGGGAGTCATTCCAGAGATTGGAAAGGAAACGGGAAGCTGCTGCTGGACAAGAGATTAGCCCGGAGGCGGTGATGTCAGCCGGCACTGGATGGAGAGGGGTCAGGGGGAGCATGGCATGGGCCCCCCGTCCTGCCTGCACTCAACTGTGCAACCCACTCCAGCGCTCCCAAACACACCCTGGCTGGGGGACAATGAGACCGCATCCCCGGGATCATAGACTCACAGACTGGTTTGGGCTGGAAGGGATCTTAAAGCTCATCCAGTTCCAACCCCTGCCACAGGCAGGGACCCCTTCCACTGGAGCAGCTTGCTCCAAGCCCCTGTGTCCAACCTGGCCTTGAACACTGCCAGGGATGGGGCAGCCACAGCTTCTCTGGGCACCCTGTGCCAGCGCCTCAGCACCCTCATCTCATACTTTGCATCTCCTGAGCTCATGGATATGTCCTGGGCAGCTCTCACCCCCGCCACCCACACCAGGACCTTGAGCTCCAGTACTCTGCTGTGCTCTGTTCTCCCCATGCCAGCCGTCTGGATCCATGGTGGCCCAGTGGGTGGGAGATGTCCCAGCTCCAGCTGGGCAGTTCCTGTTGGCCCTGGGGCTCAGCAGAGGTGTTTGAGCAGCGGTTTCCCCCAGTCCAGGAGAACCGAGCCCCAGTCCTGGCACTTCAGTGACTGGGGAGGGAGAAGGGATCAAGGGAGAAGGTTTTCTGCTCTGCACTGGCCTGTCAGCAGCCATCAGGATGTGGGCTGTGGGAGTGTGTGGTCACACTTGGCCACAGGATAGGACTGGGTCTTGCCACTCTGGGACTGTCCCACGGTGTCCCTTCCACCCTTGAGCATCTCCCTCCAAGCAACCCATCTCTGCCCCCCTGGCACGTGGGGTGAGCACAGCTCCACGCAGCAGGTTGTGAGGGCTCTATAGAGATGCCACAGTGTGCCAAAGAGTGGTGAGTTAGGATCTGGTCCCTCACTGGATTGTGCTTCACTGGTGCTAATGCCCCAGCACAGCAGGATGGAAGTGATGGCACACACCAGTGCCACCAGTGCTACCGGCACCCTTTGCTCTGCCCCTCCAGCCGCTCACACTGCAGACCTCAGCAACCTTCCTGTGAGCATCAGTGCTTGTGTTTAAGCTCTAAGGGGCAGAGGTAGGAGCCCAGTGGGATGACACAGTCTGCACTGCAGGGCCAGAGGGTTCCTACACACCATGTGGGTCCCAGTGCACCCTCTCTCCACACCTCATCCATAAGGGTGGTCCATGAGGCCGCTGATGCTATCCCCAGCCCCAGGGACACATCACCCACCACTAGAGCAGCTGGTGGGGAAGGGGGAGGAAGGCAAAAGCCATGCCAGATTCATGCTGAGTTCTGCTTCTGCTTCTGTTCTGAGCTGCCTTTTCACTTCTAGCACACACAGGGGCTTGTAAAGGTGGACTTCCCATAGCAGGGCCTCCCGCAGCTCCCAGCCCCTACAATGGCTTTTGGGGACATCGTTGGGGCAGGAAAGGACCAGTCTGAGTTGGTTTAAGGGGTTGCCCAGGGAGCTGGAGGCTTACCATGAGAACCAGAGAAGGGCTGAAGGATGCTGTGAGATATTAACCTCAGACACACTCTGTGTGCAAGGTTGGGTAAGAGCAGAGCTGCACCAACTGCCAGCCCCACTGGGGCTCTTGCACAAAGCATTGCATTACAGGCACCCATGGTGAAAACACAAGGTCCTTGCAAGGGAGAAACCCTCCTGCCGTCCCCGTGACACCCAGACCCTGGTGCCATCCTGCCCCTCAGCTCACTCCACTCTCATGATGGGGCAGCAGCAGTGGGGTGGGTGCTGCATCCCCAGCATCCCTAGAGCTCAAGGCAGGGATCTGTATTCCCAGCATTTCACCCAGCCAGCACCAGCCCTCCCCTGTCCCCTCATAAACATGGACATTTCAGCCTATTTCCACCAGTCTGGCAGCACCTGCACCCTGCCTTGTTCTGGGCCATGATGAGTATCTCCTCTGCGTGTGGCCATAGGTGGGAGCAGCCCATAGACCTCGATACACCTGACAACGTCAAACATCTCCCTCAGCTGTGCAGCCTTTGGTGTGAGTGAAGGTTCCTCTATGGCAATGCACGTGGGGAGCAGGTCCTTCACTGGGAAGGTGAGGGAAGGAGCACGAGGGGGTGAGCAGGGAGGATGCAGCCCCCAAAGGAGGGCAGAGCGTGGTTGAGGGGCAGGACACGGGGCAGGCAGGGGCAGGGTCATGCCGGGGAAGGGGCAGGCCGGGGCAGGGATGGGGGCCGGAGGGTTGGGCTGTAGGAGGGACCGGCAGCGGGAGGCGGGCTGGGTGCCTCGAAGCCAGGCTGTGCCTGCAGCAGCTCCTGCGCTCGGTGCCTGCGGGCCGAGCCCTGTGCCCGGCGCACACCTTGGCATCACCCTGGAGCCCAGAGCAGGACGGAGCCCGCAGCGGCGCTGCCACCGGCCGGGGAGGGCTGCGGACCCCGCTGCGGGGCGAGAGGTGAGGGACAACCCCTGCGGTGGCAGGGGGCGGATGGGGCAGAGCTGCGGCAGAGCTGGGGCAGGGAGGGAAGGGCCCTGGCTGGGGCAGTTCGTGCCCGCTTCCAGCCCCCTGCACCGGATGGTCCTGCAGGGACAGGGACGGTGTCCACCTCCCTGTGCGATGCCATTGCCCGTGGGCACAGCGGGACGGCCCCAGAGAGCCACAGCCCAGCCAGTGCCCAGTGCCTGGCGTTGGGGGGTTTCTTGGGAGCCAGGTCCTGGCAGGCGGCTGCCTGCTGACCCCCCCCCCCACACACACACACCCTCCCCAAGCAGGACAGGCAGCCTGCAAAGCTGTCTGCAGGTCCCTCAGGGCAATACAGGCACCGGAAAGGGGGAAATTGACCCATTTCTGCTGGGTACAGCCCTTTAACCCTGTGGCAGTGATACCCAACCCACACCCTTATCGGCCATCACCCTCCGTACCCCCCTGCCCAGCCCTTTGTATAAGTGCTATCTCAACAGGCTGCAGTGTCCCCATGCCTTGCTCCCCACCCACTGCTCCCCCAGCTTCTCAGCCAGCTCCTGCCATGGCTG